GCAGCGCAGCGCAGCGGCGCGGGCAGGTGTGAGGGAGCGGCCCCGGCACACGGCGGCTGCCGGCGGTTAAACCGCTCCGTGCCGGCCCCGGGGCCGCATCGCCGCGCAAACAACGCCCCGAGCCGCGGGGAGGCCCCCAGCGCCAATCGATCGGCTCCGGGCTTTCTGTGGGCAGGGGCAGCCCAGCCCGCGGCCCGGTTCTGGTCACTGACGTGGGCTCGGTTCAGCGGCCTTTTATTGCCTTTCCGTGGAATCGCAGAATGATTAGGGTTGGAAGGGACTGTGGAGATCACCCAGTCCCATCCCTGCCATGGCAGGGACACCTTCCTCTATCCCAGTTTGCTCCAAGCCCCTTCTAACCTGGCCTTGAACGCCTCAGGGATAGGGCAGCCACAGCTTCTCTGGGCAACCTGCGCCAGGGCCTTACCACCCTCACAGAAAAGAACTTTTTCCTAATATTTCACATGAATTTCCCCGCTTTAATTTTGTACGCATTACTCTTCGTCCTATCACTGCAGCTCCTAACAAGAGTCCTTCTCCAAATCACCTCAGAAACAACTCCCTGTGCCGGAGAGATGCCTTAGGCTCAAACCAGCCTGTTCCAGGATTTCTGTGGGGCAGGGACACATCCATCGTCTCTGTCATGAGCTGTGTTTGGTTGCCTTTTGCTGCATCTCCATGGAATCACAGAATTCTGGCTTGGAAGAGACAMTAAAACTCATCYAGTTSCACAGCCCTGCCATGGCTAAGGACACCTTCCAYTAGACCAGGGTGCTACAAGCCTYGTCCAGCYTGGCCWTGAAYGTGTCCTTAATAATCCTGGACTATTTCCTAAAGCTTGCTGAAGGAGGAGATTTCATCCCACATGCACAAAGGTGTGAGATTTAAAACACCTTAATGCACTTTTATAGAGTTTATACATATATATATATATATATATGCACACACTCATAAGAATGTATATAATCCTATAGTGCTTTTTTAATAGCTTTATACTCATAGAGTCTTTCATTATAAGGGACTGCATAGGTTTTTTTTTAGCTTGCATTACAGTATTTCTTCAAATTTCTTTTTATATTTCTGTATGATTATATATTATATTTCTATGTGTATTTATATTAATGATAAAGGTCATGTTCTTTACCTCAACAGAATATATTTGGCTCATGCATAGTCTGTGCTATACATACATATCCATATATACATTTATTCGGATTAAACAGATAAAATGAGCTGTTTGYAAAATCGGGAGTAGCTAAGTAATCAGAAAATACAATGAATTTTAGAAACTTGGGAGAGGGAGCAGCTGTACAATTTTCTATTACTTCAGTTTGTGTGGGGAATGTGTCAGCTCGTAGCCAGGCTGCTCAACAGCTTCAAGGAGATGAGGAAAAAAAATCCCATAACTGGTCAAAAGTGCAGAGCAAATTTCAGTGATGACAACTGTAATTAAATGAGCTGGAATCAGTCCAGGACCACAAGGTTAACATCCCTCTTCCTGGAACATCTTCCCTGAGATGTTTAATGACTGCTGAGCTGTCGGGACCTGCGTTAGACATCTCACCTGAGACACCGTCTTCAGTAAGTGCTCTTTGCCTCTGCAGTTCAATACCAACCAGGAGGAAGAAAGAAAAGTGCCATCTAACAAAACACCAATCCCTCTTCCTCTGCACCARTGTCAGCTCTGCAGAGACCCAGCTCAGCTGGGTACAGAAAAAGGTTCCAGGAGAGGGAGGAAAGGCATCTCCAGAGGGTGCATGGGGAGGAGGGAGCTGGTCTGAGCTGAGGTCTGAGGTGTCTGCCTGAGCTCCCTTCCTGCCCTGAATTACTCAGCATCATTAAACACTTGTGACCAGAAAGCAAAATGYGGCCAGAGGTAGAGCCAGAGTCACAGGAGAGCTGGCTCAAGTCTTTCATCACACCTGGATGAGTGTGCTGTTACCTGAGCTTAAAAATGGACCCAAGCTGGCAGGCAGGTGAGTAGCAGCAGGCAGGGTGAGAGCTTGTATCAGAGCAGCCTGACCTGTCCAAAAAAAAAAAAAAACAAAACAAAACAAAACAAAAACTTTTAGTACATGTTGAAAGCTTTTCTAAAATCCCAAATTGTGTCATTTGGCCAGGMGGGCCCAAAAGGATCAGCAATAGGATGAGGCCATTACCAGATGTTGTCAGTAACTGTTTCTAGGGCTGCCTAGGGAAAACACATCACAGGCAGGCTGGGTCAGGGCAGGAACCAACCCCACATGGGAAGGAGTAGGGCTCTGGTTCCAAACAGGAGATGCAGGCAAGCCCTGTGGACCCGTGGGGCTGTCTGATGTGGGGCCAAGAGGCATGTCACTGCAGGGCTGGGTCCTGTTGCTGCTCCTRCAYTGGATACAGGCTAYASATTTCTGCAKCTCCACTCAGGGAATAACCCCAGGGCTGACATGTGAGGCTGGCTGCGAAGATCCTTGCCATGCTCAAAGGCTTCTCAACTGCCCAGGGCAGAGCTGGTGCAGCATCACTGCTCCATTGGAATTGGTGATGTCAATGGGCACGTCCACCTGTGTCATGGTCATTCTGCAGCCACTGGCACGTTCCCGCCACACCAACTGCTGAGATTTTTTTTCTGACAAGTCTTTTCCTTTCTATTCGGAAATTTCTTCCGAGTGGCATTTGCTGGTTAAGCCAGCCCCACTGCTGAGATAAATCCCTGCTTCATGCACAATGTGATCAAGTGGTGTACAGAAACAGGATTCCTCTGAGCTGCCTGGTGGGTTGTGCTTAGCACCGTGTCTCAGCAGCCTGTCTGCCTGCAGCATCCATTCCCTAAGCTTCTAACAGARGGCTCTGCTCGCAGCCTCCGACGCTCTGCTCAGCTCTAATCTGCCCTGCAACAGCATCAAACCAAGGCCCCTTCAGCCACAGCAATGCTTTGTGCTCCTCCAGTCAGCTAATCCTGCTTAAAGTCAAGCCGGCCACCCTGGTGTAAATGCCTGATGTAAACACACTCAAGATTGTTTGAATTAAATTTATCTCATCCTGCATGGCTGGACTGACTTTATAGTGGTTCATTTTCCTCTGCAGGGTCTTAGATGGATGTGTCAGCACATGTGGCCAAACTTCCTGACTATGAGTTGCCTACCAAAATATTTGGATGGCCAGGAGATGCCAGCCTGGTTTCAGGAGCTGTAGGAGCTGAGATGTGGATGTGGGAATGGCACCTTGGCTGTCCCTGGCCATCYGAACTGTCCTGCTCCAGCCAGAACTGTGCTCAAGCACATGCAGAAATAATCCCTCCTGGCACTTTGTAGAGACGCCTTGAGCCATTTTGAGATGCTGCCCTGCCTCACCTCTCTGTGCAACAGGAAACCTGAACCGGGAGGAGAAATCAAACATTCAAACAAAGCAGCTGYTAGAGCAGAAAATAGCTGGGATGGAGTTGGGGTTACTCAGAGAGTGGTGTGAAACCCAACTGTCCTTTGTCAAATATTTGTTTGGCTGTGTGTCATAGCTGAGTGTCTCAATGCACCAAGAATCTGTTCCGTGCTATCAGTTGTGGACAAATGAATGTAATGGGTTGTTATGGTCACCCAGATACCACCGCACTGGGCAAACACAAATCTTGCAAAAACAGTGATAAAAGGGCACGTTTCTGCATTTATCTGCTGGGTGGCATCTGCTTAGAAACACTGAGTTTCTAGAAGTGAAGTGCTGCATTTCTGTACTGTTTCTATATGGCTGCTGCTCACTGTTCTGATGCGTGAGACTGAATACATATTTATCAAGCCCAATTCAGCAGAGAATCTGCCCGGCTTCAACACTGCAGGAAATCTGTTCTACCCCCAGACCAAAGCAKCATTGAAAAGCAGCTTCAACAGAAAGGAATGAGGAGAGCTGCACACCGGGCATGAGCCACTTGATGTGTTTACCCAGCAGCCACACAACGCATTGATGCTCACAGTGAAAGGCAGCCTAATGTGCACAGCCCTGACCTGGGAAGGAGGAGGAGGAGAGTGAAGGAGACCAATTACTCTAAAGAAAAGAGAGTCTGCTGTCTCTGTGCCAGCCCAGTCCAGCATTTCTCTGAGCAAGGTGCCAATCTAACGGGATTAATGGTGATAAGGCTTCCACAGATGTAAGAATCATTAGCAAGCAAGCAGAGACTTCAGCACCTGCATCACACAAACACTTTGATAAAATACAAAAGAAGAGGGCAGTGTTCCCTCAGATTCCAGCCCATCTCTCCGCAACACTTTTTCCTTTCCCTTCCCTCAACCATCAATAGGTTCTAATCGCTGTTGTGGTTTTTGTCCAAACTGATTTGAAGCAGTGTAAGTGATGAGCAATGTTCCCTGTATCTGTGGAGCTACTTTCCCCAGCACACCTGAGCTCGGGAGCAGCATCACTTCTCTCTCCAGCTGGGTGAGTTTTAATTCTGCTTTGTGTCTCAGGGAAATCACCAGGACGTGACACAGGAACAAAAAGGGGTTTGCACTCACACGTATCTGCTGGGATTTTCTTCTTAAGCAAGCAGCTGCAAGAAGTTAAATAAAATTCATTGTTTTGAAATATATTCAGGCACATAGTGTGACACACACACTTGCATGGTGTCTAACAGCCTCCTGTGGGATTGCTGCCTGTTTTCTCAATTCTGTGGCAGGATCTGTGCTTTTAAGATCAGTTCTTATGTCCCTCAGT